AAGGGCCATTCTCAGCAAAGACCACAACCACACTCTCACTTTCTGGAGCTGAGGGCATGGTGTCCCTTAAGTTTCCAAAGCATCAATTTCCTTATCTGTAAAATGGATGGTGAGGATTAATGAAGATAACATTGTTGGTTGATAGCACTTTGCCAGGTATGTTCACATGTAATCTCATTAGATCGAAACAATAATTCCGTGAGGGAGACCTTTCATTCAACTCAGTCAATATTGAGGGCCTACTATGTTCTAGGTAGTTTTAGCCACAGTGATGCCTCATGGAGCTCACAGAGGGGACTCACAGAGCTCACAGAGACTATAAAAACATGAACCACTAAATAAGGCAGTTTCAAATTGTAACAGATGTTGTAACAAAAATGAAACAAGGTAAAGAGCTAAGGGACGGGTGGTTAGGTTACTACCTGGATACAATTTATATAAATTCGTAGTATCAAAGTATATCCTTGATACTTCTTTCTTTCTTTATTATTTATTTTTTTATTTTTATTTTTTGGTACGCGGGCCTCTCACCGTTGCGGCCTCTCCCGTTGCGGAGCACAGGCTCCGGACGCGCAGGCTCAGCGGCCACGGCTCACGGGCCCAGCTGCTCCGCGGCATGTGGGATCTTCCCAGACCGGGGCACAAACCCGTGTCCCCTGCATCGGCAGGTGGACTCTCAACCACTGCACCACCAGGGAAGCCCCATACTTCTTTATTTTTATAGTAGCTCCCCGCCCCCACCCCCGTCCCTGCCCCGGTCCCATAAATACAGATTCTCAGTGGACTGCTCTCCATGGGCATTACAGAATGCTTCAGTCTGCCCTCTTAAGACAAAGGGCCTCCGGAGGTTTCTAGGCCTGATATCCCTAACTAGTTAGTAGAGAGTTTAACTGAACTTCAAGGCAAGTCTATGAAAGGTGTGGACTTTGACTCTCAGACACCATTGGAGCTGGCAGTCTCTGCTTGCATTACCACATTTGAGGAGGGCAAATCCAGCCTGTGAAACTCATAAAGATGCCATCCCTAAGTAAAATAACCACCAACTGAACATGTTTGAAGTATGTGAAACAAAGATGAATGTAGTCAATTCAGAAAAATGAGCCCGTTGGGGAAGAGAACAGCGGCTACAGCTGTGCACAACGAAACTGCCCAGATGGTTTTATATTCTCCTTTACAGCAGACCATAATATTCTTTTTACCAAGGCAATGAATTTTCTCTAATAATTTGTTCTTTAAAAAAAAAATACCTGGGCTTCCCTGGTGGCGCAGTGGTTGGGAGTCCGCCTGCCGATGCAGGGGACACGGGTTCATGCCCCGGTCCAGGAAGATCCCTCGTGCCTCAGAGCAGCTGGGCCCATGAGCCGTGGCCGCTGGGCCTTCGCGTCCGGAGCCTGTGCTCCGCAACGGGAGAGTCCACAACAGTGAGAGGGCCCACACACCGCAAAACAAAAACAAAAACAAAAACAAAACCTACTGTATGTCAGTTACTTAATATAACGTATTAATAAACTTCACAAGAAATCTATAAAGAAACAATTTCAGCCAGTTTAAGTAACTTGACCACAGCCAACATTGGTAGAGGTGTCACTGAGCTCCAATCCTGTGTCCTTTAAATGCACCGCCCAACAAACCTCAGATGCCGCCCACTTGGTTAGAGAGAGGAGTGGCAGAGCCCAGGCCAGGCGAGGTCCAAGGGGGAAGCCCTTCACCCACCTGTATTCCTCACCCAGCACACTGTCCAGCCCACAGAATCCCACTTGACCATTCCATGAAAGGCAAGGGCCCCTTTCTGCTATCAAAGACAAAGTGGTTGGTTTTTTGTTTTGTTTTGTTTTGTTTTTGTTTGTTCCCCCCCCCTTGTCTTTCAGTGTTTTAAATGACTCTAGTGCCAACCAGCTTGGGATTGCTCTTTTCCAAAATTAAAATGCCTTTAAGTTGTTTTCATTATAAAAGTGGAACATATTTGTTGCAAAAAGTGTGCACAGCAGGAGAGAGCGAGCCTCCCTGCCCATTTTTGTCTCCCAGGATAGCCTTAAACATGCCTTCTGAACATGCTTTGTTGTTGTTTTAAAAGATGAGTCTTTTAAGTCCTCTCACAAGGGGCTGTAGAGTGCTAACCCCCTCAGGTTTTCAGATGACACTCTGGGCTGGCCTTAAGTTGAATAATAATTCGTTCAGTTTTCAAGAAACCTTTATGGAATGTCACCTGTGTGCTAGGCGTTGCTGATCCAAGGTGGACAAAACAGCCTCAGACTTTAGAGAACTCATTCTGTTGTTGAAAATCCTTGCATAAACCAAGGATTAGATAGATGGTAATCCCCCAGTGAACAGGGTATCACTTTAGAACTGGTTAAAAACTTTCTTTGTAATCAGAATGACACATAATTGACAAATATTCAAGTGTAAGAGTTCTTTACTTTGCAGGTAACCCTGCCTCAGGCTGGCATAGTTGGGGTAGGGATGGGGTGCATACCCCCCAGCAGCATACATTGTGTCTTTTCATTCCCGTTGTTGAGATCTCCCTGGGTGACTTGCACAAAGTGTTCCATGTGGCCTAAGTATATGCCAGGTCAGTTAGTCAGCAATTCTGCATCAGGAATGGGCCCATTTTTCCATTACACCAATGTTACATTTTCAAAATGGAAGGCATTGAAAATGTAAATTTAAAAGCATTTTTTTAACATCTTTATTGGGGTATAATTGCTTTACAAGGGTGTATTAGTTTCTGCTTTATAACAAAGTGAATCAGTTATACATATACATATGTTCCCATATCTCTTCCCTCTTGCGTCTCCCTCCCTCCCACCCTCCCTATCCCACCCCTCCAGGCGGTCACAGAGCACCGAGCTGATATCCCTGTGCTATGCGGCTGCTTCCCACTAGCTATCTACCTTATGTTTGTTAGTGTATATATGTCCATGCCTCTCTCTCGCTTTGTCACAGCTCACCCTTCCCCCTCCCCATATCCTCAAGTCTGTTCTCCAGTAGGTCTGTGTCTTCATTCCTGTCTTACCTCTAGGTTCTTCATGACATTTTTTTTTCTTAAATTCCATATATATGTGTTAGCATACGGTATTTGTCTTTCTCTTTCTGACTTACTTCACTCTGTATGACAGACTCTAGGTCTATCCACCTCATTACAAAAAGCATTTGCTGTGCAGGAAAGGGAGATTCTAGGGCCAGAACTAGAAACCAAGTCTCCTCACACCAGTTTGATGTGTTTTCCATTACACCCCATGATTGAGTCTTAGAGCACTGAATGGGTGATTATTAATCTTTATGGACGGGCTTCCCTGGTGGCACAGTGGTTGAGAGTTCGCCTGCTGATGCAGGGGACACGGGTTCGTGCCTCGGTCCGGGAAGATCCCACATGCTGCGGAGTGGCTAGGCCCGTGAGCCACGGCCGCTAACTCTGCGCGTCCAGAGCCTGTGCTCCGCAACGGGAGAGGCCACAACAGTGAGAGGCCCGCGTACCGCAAATAAATAAATAAATAAATAATCTTTATGGACTTTTTATCCAATGCTGATTATATGGACTGGATTGTGCTGGGCAACAGAGATTTAAAGTTGGACGGGTCAGGGAATTCCCTGGCAGTCCAGTGGTTAAGGCTCAGCACTTTCACTGCAGGGGCCTCGGTACCATCCCTGGTCAGGGAACTAAGATTCCACAAGCCACACGGTGCAGCCAAAAAATAGAATAACGTTGGACAGGCCAGTCACTGCACTTGATAAATAAACAGCTCAGTGAGAAGACAGAAGAATAAATTGACAATTTACACCCTGAAAAGTGTTAGTTGCAGAAGAAAGGGCACCAAGCAGAGGGGGGGGGAACACAGTGGGGGGGGGGAGAGGGGGGCTTCTCAATTTATGGAGTGAATGAAAGCTCATTTGAAGAAACAATTTACATTGTTTCTTTTACCTTTCCCAGAGCCAAGACCTGAAGAGCCCCTGGGCTTTCCCACATTGGTTGGGAGGTCAGGCTCAGTACACTGCGAAATTGTTGATGGTGATCAGATTAGTATGTAATCCGATATCATCTAATCAAAAAAGATGTAATCAATGCTGGTATTTTAAACCAATTTTCAACTGTTTAGTAGTTTTGTTTTTTTTTTAGTAGTAATAATACTTTATTAATAGTAAAATTTAGTGCTTCTAGGATGAGGGTAAGGGCCCTCAAAGATGGTGTCTTGGGCTTGTCTGATTGAGGTCCTACTGATTTAGAGGAAACAGCCATTCATTCATTTATTCATTCATTCATTCAAGAAGTATTTATTTGGTACCTCTGTACCAGACACTGTTTTTTTGGGAAAGTGAGACACGGGCTATTACCTCTTGTAGCTAAACTGTTTGAATTTTGACAAATCACTTTCACTCTCTGGGCCTCAAATCCTTGACCTGTTCAGAGATGTGCGGTCACAGTGGACCTGGACTGTTTAGATTCACATTCCAGCTTCACTTCTTTCCTGTTACATGACCACATGCAAGTTAATTTAGTCTCCCTGAGCTTCAGTTTCCTCATCTGTAACATGGGGATAATATGCCTCGTTTCATTGGGTTGTACTGAGAGTGAAACTTAGCTCAGCCACTGGGCTTAGTGCCCCCAATCAAGGCTGGTCACTAGCGTCAATCCCTGATTTCCTGAGCCGCAAACCCACCCTGGAACCACACACAGGTGTTATTTGGGGCGTGGCTCACAGCGCAAGGGGGCGGGCTAGGATTTATAAAGGCAAGGTCCGGCGCAGTGGTCTCATCCTGCCTTGGCTGGACACCGGAGTGGTTTTCCAGGCCGTGGCTCCGCACTACGAGGACCAGAAGCGAGGCTGCCCAGCGGCGACCAGTGCGAAGCCGACGCGCTCGGGCCAAGCTGCTCCAGCTCCCGGCGCACGCGGCTCCGGGAGGGCGCAGAGGACCGGACCCCAACAACCACAGGCCGTGGGGGCGGGGCCTGCAACCGGCCGGCCCCCCCACCCCCCGCGGCCCCTACACCCCACTTCACCGAGGCCCGGAAGGGACCAGTCGCGCTTCCGTCCCCGCGGGGGAGGCACGGAGGGCGGAGCAGCAGCCAGAGGACGCGACGCGAGCCCAGTTCCGGCGAGGAGGCCGCGCCAGTGACAGCGATGGCGGCGGAGTCGGCGCTCCAAGTTGTGGAGAAGCTGCAGGCGCGCCTGGCCGCGAACCCGGACCCGAAGAAGGTGAGCGAGTGGGCAGCGCGGAGCGGGCCGGGTGTTGGGCGCGGCGCGGCCCCGTAACGGTTGCGGGCCCGGGTGCGGCTCCTTCCCGAGCGGCCGGGGCCGTGGGGGCTCGGACCCGGAGCGCGGCCCCGCCGGTCTGCGGCCTGCGATCGGGAAGTTAGTGGCCCTTGGCCGCTGCCCACGCGGTGGGACCCCGCACGGCGGGCGGCGCGCCTCGGCGGGCCCGGCCTCCCTGCCTCCCGGGCCGGGCGCCCGCGGGCTCCGGGCGGACACCGCGTGTCGGCGGGGCTCCCGGAGCCCTCCCCCGGCGTCCCGGGCCAGCTGTTTCCTGTCGGGAGAGCTCGCCCGGAGTTAACTCCTGCCCGCTCCATTCCTCACCCTGCGAAATGTTTCTGATTTCTTAGTGTCTTTTGATGTTTGTTGGGAGGAGGTGGTTCTGCCTGTGCTTGATGGAGTCTAGGCTCGGTGTGTGGTCCTGCGTCTTTAAGACGTTTTTATTGCTTTGGCTTGATTATTAGAGCGTGGACCTTTTCGCTTTCTCAGTAAATCTCTTTCGAAACAAAATAAACCTCACGTCACCCTAACTAAAAACTTAGGTTGTAAATGGAAAGAAAAAAAAAACAAGACTTAGAAGTTGCAGCTAGATTTCCTTCTGGCCTTGTTAGAAAGGTAAGAGCTACCTTTTCTGGCTGCTACGAGTGATGGGCAACCATTTTTAATTGCACTCAGCTAGTTTTTTTCCCCCTTAACTATTCTCTTAAGTTAAATGCGTTCTTCTCTCTCTGCGACTTTTCTTCCATCCAGCTTCTTGGTGTCTGGGAGAGTGTCCCGTGGATGTTAGAATTTTTTTTTTTAATTGAAATACATTGATGAAAACACTCAAGGTGTTTGACATTCTCTGTCAGCATTATAGCTGGAGTGTACAGTGTTGTAAGAGTTGGATCTCTGAACCCCAGAGTGGCTTTTGAAGAGGAAATAATCCAGGGAGGCAGTCGAAATAAAGTGGTGAGGAGATTTGAGTTCTAATTTATTTGCCAGCCGTGGACATTAGGGATGTTCCTTGCTAAGCCAGTTTCCTCACCTGCTTCTTCCCAGGACAGAACCAAAAGGCAGAAGTGCTCAGCAGATGTTAATCTCCACTCTTTACAATTTTTCTTGAAGGGCCCCTTTCTCTTCACCTCTTCTTGGCCTGTCATAGGTGAGGTTTTTTTCCCTCCGTTTCTAAAGGCTGCTCAACGCGTCTCACTATCAGACCACTGTTTAACTCTTCTCATGCATACCTAGCTCAAAGATCCACTTCTTCAGGACAACATTTTAGCTTTAAGTCTGTGAAAACCGAAATGCTTTCACTTGATTTGTGTTATATTTTCTATAATGGCATCAGTACCTAGTGGACAGACACATTTACAAGTTTCTTTTTACAGTAACCCTTTGTGGGCATCTAATAAATGGTCATTATGTCCGAGTACTAGCTTGTTTTCCCAAACACTGTAGGTTTATGACTGATTTTTTTTAAAACCCTAGAGCAATATGATGTAAATCGCCCCCATCTCCCCAGTTTGGTCTTCCATCGGGTTAAAAACAATGCACTGTGTAGTGTCTACCGTCATTTTCCCACTAGAATTTAAATTTTGAAGTAGCTTTTCCAGTAGTTGATGTGCATGAAATTTCAAATTAAGAAAAGGTTTGTTTGACTTCACATCCTATTTGAACTATTAGTGATTGTGAGAATCTGGGCTTTCTCTTCCCAGATAGAAACTCACCCTGAGCTTCTGACTTTGCATTATGAAGATCATTTTTGCAAAGGGCACAATAGTTGGCATTCACAAATGAGCTAATGCAGAGGGAAAACTGCAAGCTGGCACACTGGCCTTCTCAGCCTTCTGTTAACCCAACAAGCTCCCACAGGTTGTTCTTGAAATTGCAAGATGATTATATGGCAGTACTGAACTTACAACTAAATCTTGATTTCAAACCATTATTAGCCAAACGGTTGATTCCACACCTGTATTCATAGATTTCCTCGTATTAAACATAGGTGTTTAACTGTAACTCTCTTTTCACTTTAAGCCCATCTATGATCTAGGCTTACTTGGGGGAAAAGGTATCAGGCAAACCAGGGTCACTTGGTTCCTATTATTTAAGTAGAAACAATTTTCATGGCTGGTAAAGTTACCTGTCCTGGGTTACAGTTTGAACGTGGAAACTACGAAGAACACAGTTTGAAGCCAAGCAGAGAAGGAGGGCGACATTATGAACATCTTTAGCTCTTTGTGATGAAGTAGTGTGCAGAGGATAACTGAGATTCTTAAGCGTGGACTGTGCAAATGTTTGACATTTCTCAATGACTTGTTATCAGTTCTTGAAAACTACAACTGGTCCCTAGGTTTGATAACAGCAAGTTTCCACCTACCTGAGGATACCCAAAGTGCTTTATCATTTTAACGCTTTGTTCTTTTTTGAACCTCATTGAAAATAGAGGGGCTCTGAAGCCCTTTTTCTCTTATGTTGGGCTAAATTGGTTTGAATATCTCTAGGGATTTAGTTTCATCTGCTTTTAAGCCATCCCTCCTAACCCAAAATGAAGCAGAAAGGCAGCGCTTATACTTCCAATTAGTGCTGGGCTTTGAGATGAACACACCTTCAGTGACTTCTGGCCCCATTCTTTTTTTTTTTTTTTTGCGGTACGCGCGGGCCTCTCACTGTTGTGGCCTCTCCCGTTGCGGAGCACAGGCTCCGGACGCGCAGGGTCAGCGGCCATGGCTCACAGGCCCAGCTGCTCCGCGGCATGTGGGATCTTCCCGGACCGGGGCACGAACCCATGTCCCCTGCATCGGCACGCGGACTCTCAACCGCTGCACCACCAGGGAAGCCGTGGCCCCGTTCTTATATGTGGCCTTTGTAGAGGTCCTGGGACTCTGTCCTGGTGGTGACCTTCTTTCCTCTGTGGACTCTAAACTGCCTGACAACGTAACACTAAGGAGGGGTTCTTCTGCTTTGTGTCGAGTGTGCTAAGAGGCACATGAACTACTGCTCCATTTCCTTTTCCGGTCTTCTAAGGACAGTGTCTTTACGTTGGTTATTTCTCCTGACTTTGTAGTACATGCTGTGGTAAACACACTTGACCTACTCGCTTGTTAGGCAAGTTACCTAACCTCACTGGGCTCAGTTTTAATATTTGTAAAATGGGGAACATAATATCCATTTTATAGAGTTGGTTAATGAGGATGAAATGAGGTAACACATGTAAGGACGTAGCATAGTAGCCAGTGCACAGTAAATAGTATATAAATGCCTTCCAGGGAATGGCATTAGAGGAGACAACCTGTCTTTAACCTTTTCAATGATTCTAAATTTTCCTTTAAGAAAAGGAATTGGCATTCATCTTTGCACCCATAGCTTTGATGACAAGAAATACACATATACTTTGTCCTGAGTTGGATGGTGGTGGTGATCGAATTCGAAGTGGAGGATAATTTTCACTCAACTATGAAGGTGAAACTCCTTAGGTACACCACTTGGCTTCTCATATGTTCCCAGTCAAAACAAGATTGTCACATGTGATCCAGTTGCTCTGCCTAGCAACCAGGTTCAGTAATTATTGAAGTAGAATGACCAGAAAAACATACTTGCTACTCCACCTAGTAGCAATATAGCATACTAATTGTAGCCTGGGCTACACATAGGAAAAGAACAGATCTTGTTGTCAGATATTTAAATATAAAGGTAGTCACAGTTAATCTATTTTGAACTACTTGTACTTTTCAGCACTCCTCGAAAGGTAGGTATACTTATATATACATAAATATTTCCTAGAGAATGGCATAGCAGTCATGACTTTGGGTAGAAGTGGAGCAAGTAGGAATTGGCTGGGGAATATCTGGTAGAGGATCAAGGGTAGCCGTTTAAAGAATGGTCAGTTGATGAATGAAATGATTAATAAGCATTTATTGAGCTTGTATAGCATTCCAGGCACTATGGCTAAAGACTGCACATGGTTTGTCTCTCTGAATCCTCACAGCTTGTGAAGTACAGACAGGATCCAGTTCCTGTTTTGCAGATGAAGTAACTGAGGTTCAGAGAGGTTAGTGACTTGCACAAGATCACCCCACAAGGAAGTGGCAGCGCCAAACTGAAGCCTGTCTCTGACTCTGGAACTCTGTCTTAACAGCTCTGCTATCTGATTTTGAGCTAGCTCAAGAGAATACAGAAAAGAAATGTGACCAAACCCAGATTGCTTCTCTAATCTACCCAGACATTTTGTGTTCACCATTTGCAACGGCAAAGCTCTGATTCTAGCAACTTGAAATTGGTGCTGGCTTCCCACTTACATCGAAAAAACCCAGTTCTGTTAAACACACTTTTTCTGGAAACATGATACCCTTTTTCTGTAGAGACCTCTTCTCCTTTTTACTTTCCTCTATGCCGGGTGCATGAGTAATTTCCTAAAATTGGCTCCTTTCTCAGAAAGTGTCTCTCAAAACTGGGCAGAAAGATAGTGGTTGATTACTTTTCTTAGAGCTGATAGGTTTGATTCTCTTCTCTAAGTCTGATTTCCCCTTGGTGTAGCATAGTGGCTGAAAGCAGGCAATCTAAAGCCGCAGACCTAAGTGAATCCTGCCCTACTTGCATCCTGGGGCAAGTACCTTAACTTTTTCGAGTCTGTTTTCACACTTGTAAAATAAGGATAACAGCCATACTCTATACTACAGAGCAGTGTAAGTACTTAACCACTGGATATTGTTCTTATTTGTTCCAGTGAATGATTATGATTTTATAGAAATTAATGTTTATTTTATTCTCTGCAGCTATTGAAATATCTGAAGAAACTCTCCACCTTGCCTATTACAGTAGACATTCTTGCGGTAAGAACTGTGTAATTTTAGACGTTATATAGCTATATCCCCTCCCCTTCCCAACCAGAGGGATTGTACAGTAAGAGCATGGGCTTTAGAAGTGAAAGAAACCAGACACAAGGCCACATGTTGTATGGTTTTATTTATATGAAATGTCCAGAATAGGCAAATCCATAGATAGAATGTTAGCTTAGTGATTGCCAGGGGTGGGGGGAATTGGGAGGAACAGCATTTCTTTTTAGGGTGATGAAAATGTTCTGGAATTAGTGGTGATGGTTGTGTAGTATTGTGAGTATTCTGGAAACCACTGAACTGTACACTTTAAAATGGTTAAAATAGTGAATTTTATCTCAGTTTTTTTTCTAAAAAATAAAAGAACATTGGCATCTAGTCCTGGATTCAAATCCAAGTTTGTGACTTTAGGCTGTTCCTTCTTTGTAAAATGGGGCAGGTCCTAACCTCACAGAGTTATCATATGATAAGTATTAATTCAGACACTGTATGCAGTGCTCTTAGCTCAGTGCCTAACACCTGCCATGATCACTCTTGTTATTATTGCTAAAGTTCTAGAAGTGTTTTAATTTAGTGTTTTCCTCTTCTGAATCTGGTGCACTTTGCTACTGTGTATCATTAGAGGTTTGGGGCACAGACACAAAGTAAGTTTGTACTGAGACTTGCAAGGTATGTTTTTGGAAGGAAGTATAGGTTTGTTGAAAAGTAGGAGGTCTTATTTCTTTAGAAAATTGTGAGCCTAGTTCTACAACCCTCTAACAATTCCTTTGTCAATTTTGTAGGAGACCGGGGTTGGGAAAACGGTAAATAGCTTGCGAAAACACGAACATGTCGGAAGCTTTGCCAAGGACCTAGTGGCCCAGTGGAAGAAGCTGGTTCCTGTGGAACGGTAAGAAATGTTCCTCAGTTCTGCCTCAATTATAAGAAATAATCCATGATCATTATAGAATACTAGAAAGCATTTAAAAATAGAAATAAGAATAAAAATTTCTTAATTCAACCATCCAAAGATAAGCATTATCGACGTTTTGGAATGTTTCTTTCTAACCTGTTCTTAAAAGGCATTTTTATGTAGTTGTGAATAAACTGATGTAAATGACAGCTCTTTTTTAATGTAACAAGTTAAATATTTCCCTGTGTTGAAAAGCTTTTTAAGTATTTTCACTTCCCAAGATGTTTGATCTTCTTTGTGTCCTGTAGTTAAACTCGTCATTTTCCACTTATTGAATATTTGGGCTTTCCCAGTTTTAAACCTTAGCTGAGTATCTTTGAGCAGAACCCATTTACCTTCTCCCCAAGACCTTGTTTCTAACTCCAAACTCTTCATCTCTTTCGTGAGTTCAGGTCCTGTGATGTTGTCCTCTGAACAAGGATTACCCTGAGATTTATGTCTGCTTCATCTGCTTTTTCTTTTATTTTAGAAACACTGAGCCTGATGAACAGGACTTTGAGAAGAGCAATTCTCGAAAGCGCCCCAGGGATGCCCTTAAGGAGGGGGAGGGGGAGGGGGACTACCCAGGCAGCTGGAGAGCCTCCGGCAGCCAGTCGTGCAGTCCTGATAACAGGCAGAAGAAACACAGAAAACTCCCGGAGCTTGACCGGCCTCACAAAGTATCTCACAGTCATGAGAGGAGAGACGAGAGAAAGAGGTACCACAGAGCTTCTCCAGTTTACTCTTCAGACCACGAATCTTCGGACTACGGCCATGTTCAGTCCCCACTGTCATCCGCCAGCCCTCATCAGATGTCTGTGGACCATTACAGATCCCTGGAGGAGGACCACGAGCCCTTTGTTTCACACCAGAAGCCTGGCAAAGGCCACAGTAATGCCTTTCAGGACAGACTGGGGGTCAGTCAAGAACGACACCTGGGTGAAGCCCAGGGGAAAGAGGTCGTGAGTCAGAGCAAGGAGCACAGATCTTCCCATAAAGAAAAACGTCCGGTGAATTCCAAAGGAGATGAGAAGTCGTCTCTGAGCAGAGAAAAATCACACAAGGCCATCTCCAAAGAGGAAAACCGGCGGAGGCCACCCTCAGGGGACAGTACAAAGGAGAAAGCGCCCTCTAGTGGTGTCAAGAAAGAGAAGGAAAAAGAGGGCAGCACCAAGAAGCTTTTACCCCCCTTGGAGGTGGCATCAGACAACCACCTTAAAAAGCCAAAATACAGAGACCCAGAGAAAACCAAATCAGACAAAAACAAGCAGAGTCTAGAAAGCTTAGACACAGGCAAGGGGGCAGGAGACCTGTTGCCCAAGGCAAAAGAGAAGGTTTCTAACAACCTAAAGGCTCAAGAAGGAAAAGTAAAACCTTCTCATTTAGATAGAAAGTCCGTGGGCTCCTTCCTTAAAGCTGAGGAGGCAGACGTGGATGATGAATTCGAGCAGCCCACCATGTCTTTTGAGTCATACCTCAGCTATGACCAGCCCCGGAAGAAAAAGAAAAAGATCGTGAAAACTTCAACCACGACTCCTGGAGAAAAAGGATTAAAAAAAAATGATTCAAAGAGCACTAGCAAAAACGTGGACTCAGTTCAGAAACTACCTAAGGTGAACGAAAACAAGTCAGAGAAGCTTCAGCCAGCTGGATCCCATTCAGCCAAGCTGAAAAAGGTAAAGGTAAGCCCTGTGGCCCCTCCCAGCCAGAGCGCCTGGGCTGGCAGAGCTCCCGGGACGACCCCACCGCTGTTGGTCTGGGCTGGCTTTCCCGTGGCCTGTTGAATTTCAGTGTGAAGTAATTTCCTCCCGGCCTGTCTGGCCACCAGGGTCAGTAGAACCCAAGAAAAGTATTTTCTGAGGCATCCCATTGTGCTGGGCCCATCTCTCCGTATCTCCTGACTTAGGTGGTGTCAGGCACAGCTGCCGCCCCTCCTGCAGGCTGGATGTGCCTGTGAAGTTATCTGCCACGTCAACACTGCTGGGCGTCGACTGTGGGAAAGAGCTGTGCTTGTAGAAAGAGGCTCTCCAGTCACTGGTCTGTTCTCTGCAGGTCCCCAGCGATGTGCTGCCAGTGTTACCAGACCTTCCATTACCTGTGATACAGGCCAATTACCGCCCACTTCCTTCCCTTGAATTGATATCTGCCTTCCAACCAAAGCGAAAAGGTAATTGTCTTTGTCTTTTTTTCTTTTTTTAATGGAGAAAATGGTTTTAAAAATTCATTCGTGGTCTGTCATCAGATTTTGGTGCATTTCCTAAGAGCACAGGTTCTGGAGTTGGATGGCTTGGGTTTGAATCCCAGCTCTGGCTTTTACTACAAGTTACATGAACTTGGGTACAACTTAATTTCCTTGGACTTCAGTTTCATAGTCTGTGAATGGGAGTAATAATGGTATCTGCCTATGAGGTGGATTGAAAGTGATAATGCTGGTAAAGCTCTGAGCTCTGGGTTTTTACACATAGTGTTTGCTAAATCTTAGCTGCTGCTATTACCAGCAGCCTTTTACTCTGTACATTCCATAGGGGCTTAAAAAAAAGGCTAGGGACTTCCCTGGTGGTGCAGTGGTTAAGAATCCGCCTGCCAATGCAGGGGTCACAGGTTCGATCCCTGGTCCGGGAAGATCCCACATGCCGCGGAGCAACTAAGCCCGTGTGCCACAACTACTGAAACCCATGTGCCTAGAGCCCATGCTCTGCAACACGAGAAGCCACTGAAATGAGAAGCCTGCGCACCACAACAAAGAGTAGCCCCCACTTGCTGCAACTAGAGAAAGCCCCCGCGCAGCAACAGGGGCCCAAACGCAGCCAAAAAATAAATAAATAAATAAAGGCTAGTTTTAATAGCAAAAGAATTAGATGCTACATAGGTGTCCCTCAGCAAGAGACTAACAGATGGATCATGGTTCATCCACACAGTGGCATCCTATGCAGCCGTTGAAAAAAAGAAGTAGAAAATCTATGTACTGATGTGATTTCTAAAATGTAAATGACAGAATGGTTATAGTATGTTATTGATTGGTTAAAAAGGAATAAAATAAATATTAGTTTATTTTTGCATAGACTCTCTGGAAGGACACAAGAAACTGGTAGCATTGGTTGTCTTTGAGAAAGGAAACTGAGAGGCTGGGGAATGGGGTGGAAGGAGAGTTTTCACTGTGTTGCTCAGTGCCTTTTATAACTTACACTCCTGTTTTTCTTGCCCTACAGCACTCTCCTCATCCCAGGAAGAGGAAGAAGCTGGATTCACCGGACGAAGAATGAATTCCAAGATGCAGGTCTATTCTGGTTCCAAGTGTGCCTATCTCCCCAAAATGATGACCTTGCACGAGCAGTGCATCCGGGTGCTTAAAAACAACATTGACTGTAAGTCACATGCTTCTCTCTTGCTCTTCAGCACGCTGTTGTGGCACTGGGACACCGGGTGACTTGGCCGCTACTCAGTGCTTTTCCCCTTTGATTCTCTGCAGCAATCTTTGAAGTGGGAGGCGTCCCATATTCTCTCCTTGAACCTGTTTTGGAGAGGTGTACACCTGATCAGTTATATCGCATAGAGGAGTACAATCACGTGAGTATCCTGTTTGGATGGGAAGAGGGCAGTGTGCTGGCTTGCATCTCCAGAAGTAGCTTTGTCTCTGAATCTGCCACGATGATGGGCAGGTGGTGGTCGGATCACTGTTCTGGGTTTGTCTATGGGCCTTTAAACAGGCAGGTTTTTAGCACCTGCTTGTGGCATCTTAAGTAGGCCTCTTGGGCTAGAATCAAGATGGGATTGAAAGGTGGGAGAGGGGGACCATTTCCCACACCTCCCTTGAGCTTGCCTAGTTACAGAGGTCAAGGGAGAATTCTAGCAGCACAACCCTTGGGATCCAGGGCAGGGACAGAGCTATGTGTTGACACTCAGGTGTCTGGTGAATATAAGATTGGCTGGGTGCCTCCTAGAGACAAACAGATCTATCCCCAAATCCTCCTAATGCTGGAGATGCTCATCTGATTGCATTAGCTGTCTCTAATTCAAAGGATCTATGACATATCCTTCTTAAGTGGCCCCTGGCCATTGCAGTTCAGTGTAGTGATGGGGAAATGCCTGGATTTGACTTCATCCCAGTTCCTACCCTGTACTGATTTTCTAAAGGAAAAGACTGATCTTAAACTAATTTTTGTGTTGCCTTCTCTCCTAGCCCCACAACCCCCAAAAGCAGCTAGTATAGTGCCTCACACTTAACATTTTTTTTTTTTTTTTGCGGTACGCGGGCCTCTCACTGTTGTGGCCTCTCCTGTTGCGGAGCACAGGCTCCGGACACGCAGGCTCAGCGGCCATAGCTCACGGGCCCAGCCACTCCGCGGCATGTGGGATCTTCCTGGACCGGAGCACGAACCCGTGTCCCCTGCATCGGCAGGCGGGCTCCCAACCACTGCGCCACCAGGGAAGCCCACAATTAACATTTTTTAATTCAGTGATTAGGGTTTCTTTCCTAGAACTGTGGTATTTTAATATACTACCACTACTAAGAGGACCAAAATATCATTAGGAAGCTGGTCCCCCTGGGTGATTAAGGATGGAAAAGAGATGTGTAAGAGTACTTGCATGTAAATGATGTCCTGGTTCTGATTTTAGGTATTAATTGAAGAAACGGATCAATTATGGAAAGTTCATTGTCACCGAGACTTTAAGGATGAAAGGCCAGAGGAGTATGAGTCGTGGCGGGAGATGTACCTGCGGCTTCAGGATGCGCGAGAGCAGCGGCTGCGACTCCTCACAAAGAATATCCGATCTGCGCACGCCAATAAGCCCAAAGGTCAGGGGGCAGCGTGGGTCTGGCAGAATAATGAGCCCTGTGCTCTGGTCAACAGCAGGGCCGTGGTGGGCTCAGCTACGGTATCACCTCTGGCCCCCACATCTCTCCTGCATTTGCAGAAGAGGGCAAAGGGTGAGGTGTTTCTTCTGCCACTATGCATGCTACCCTACAGAGGGGTTTCCAGGGTTGATAATCCCCTACCTTTAGCATCTCAGCTCAAGAAGGCAGGTATTAATCTCCATTTCTCCGCAGGCCGACAAGCAAAAATGGCCTTTGTCAACTCTGTGGCCAAGCCACCTCGTGATGTTCGGAGGAGGCAGGAGAAGTTTGGAACAGGAGGTGCAGCTGTGCCTGAGAAAATCAGGTAAGATCTCTGTCCCCTGTGGTTTCTGCCTGCTCAGAGCAAGAGCCCAAGAGCTTATCTTTCAGCCCTGAGAGGCAGCCCAGGGGCAAGAGCGACTCATTTTGGGGGTGAAAGCGTGGCAGTGCAGAGTGGGTTCTGCAGGCTGACCTTGACCATCTGGGCACTTGACCTCCCTGAACCTCAGTGTCCTTGACTGCACTGTGGGCGGGATAATGATTCCTGCCCTTAGGTGGGGTCGGAGGTGGGGTGGTGGTCAACACTAAACAGAGAACAGGGCCTGGCTTCTGGGACACATCCCCTAAGGCCTTCCCTTGCCCCACTTAAACAAAAAACATATTACTGTGATGACTAAATTATCTAAGTACGTTAGCATTGTCAAAATACAGATTTACACCTAAACAGTGAAAAGTTAGTTGAGATTATCATTCATTCTGAAGGCCTACCACAGTCACTTCCGAGCCATCACCAGAATCTAGGGTTCTAGGTCCACTGGTCAAAGCCGCAGAACTGAGTCCTCAGAGCAGCCAGCTTCAGGCTGTTGGTGCCGGGGGCAGATCTCTCCTGCTCTTGACTAGCGGCTTTGCTCTGTGTCGCAGGATCAAGCCGGCGCCGTACCTCTCAGGAAGCAGCCGCTTGGGCAGTGGCGGCAGCAACAGCTTTAACGCCAGCCCCGAGGAGCCAGCCTACGACGGCCCGAGTACCAGCAGTGCGCACTCGGCACCCGTGGTCAGCAGCACTGTTTCCTGTGATCCTAGGAAACCGACTGTGAAGAGTAGGTAACTTGGAGCTCCTGCTCAGCTATTTCAAAACTAGTATTTGAACCCCTCTAATGTGATTACTGCTGCATCACACTTTGTGTGTTAGATGTAGCGTATGTGATGCCTTGCACACAGCTGGTCTAAATGTCGGGGCCTCCTTCCCCTGCTTTGTTCGTAGCGCATATTTCACGTGTCATTTAAATTATGATCGTAGTGAATATTCATTTTGGTACTCTGCTTTCTTTTTCTTTTATTTTTTTCAACCTAAATGTAAACCTGTTTCTCCAGGCAATAACATGGAGTTTCCAACTGTTATTATTAACAGCTAAATAATTTTATTGAAGTTTTATAACCTTATAACCCCACCTTCCAAGTATTTTTTTTATATCTAGTTGGGTCTCTTTCGTATTTTACTAACTTTACTACTGTAGACGATCCCCAATATTCTACAGTGGTGTCCTAACTTAAGAAAAGCAGCGTTCTGTATTTACCTCAGGGCCCACAGGAGGGTGGGAGTCCTGACCTGCACTTTGGCTCGGTTCAGGTTAACCAGGCTAGAGGGCAGGCTAGTCGTTCTTAGGTGGTGTGTGCATTTAGCTCATCTCAGACCTGTTGCTACACTGGACAGACAGGTGCGGGAGGGGGTGCTTCTGGCTGGTTTGGATATTGGTGAGGCAGAGTTAAATTGTGGCTCAGAACGGCCTTCAGAGTCTGGCAAGGCTGGAACTCCAGTTCTGCCACTTACCGTACAGGGTCCAGCCTGAGTCTTGGTGAAGTTGTGAGAATTAGAGGGGGTGATTGTCAGGGGCCTGGCAGGTGCTGGCGAAGTGTTACCTTTGGGCTGCTGCTTTTCTATGGGGTTGGCAGATAACTGCTACTTGTATCCATTTGTCTGGCTGTGTAGAGCCAAGAGTAACAAGGCTTTGTTTGATTGTAAACCGCGGGTGTCCACACTGCCGTGGATCTGAAACAACTGCCTTATTTCTCTTTTCACAGAAATTGCCCCAATGATGGCCAAGACGATTAAAGCGTTCAAGAACAGATTCTCCCGACGATAAACTGAGGACTTAGCTTGGAAATGACTTAGCTTGGAAATGAAATTTGCGGGGAGGAATACGAGGACAGGGTGGGGGGGTTGGGGAATGGAACTTCCAGAGAAGACCAGGATCTTTCGCTTCGTGGAGGCTTTTGGTCTCCGAGTCCTGCACAGTCAGCAGGCGTCGTGCCTGTGCCTGTGTCCGCAGCTGCCGCCTCCCTGCCTGGCGAGCACTTCCGAGTTCTGAAGATGTGAAGCCTCACGCTCACTGAGGATTTTAAGGTCAATTGTACCTTTGTTGCTAATTACCTTCTTTGTAAACTATAAGACATAGTTTTAATTAATAAATATTGCCCCCAGATCGTATTTATATTACCCCCAGGTTTTTTTTTGTTTTTTGGGGGGTTTTTTTTGTTTTTTTCCGGTCCTCTACCACACACTTAGCCTTTTATTTTTAGGGTTCTTTGTTAGACAAAAGCCTATTGAAAGCCTTTCCCCTGTCCCAGTTCATCTCTCCTGAGCAGACTTTGGCCCATAGAGAGGACTGGGTGTCCCCAGAACCTGTGTGGCACGTGCTGCACGTAGAGCGAGGAATGGGTCCTGGGCTGCCTGTCCTGGAGGGGGAGCCCCGGTGTGGTGACAGGAAGCGTTCAGGTCGGACACCCCCCACCTCTGAGACCCTCAATTGCTTTGAGGTCCTGTGCAGGTGCATCTCTTTCCTACTCATTCAGGGAATTATTTATTAAGGGAAGTTCTAGAGTCTTTCCCCCCATCCTTTTTGCCAGGTCCCACTGTTTTTGAGGCTCACGAGAGGGCACAGAACTCCAGTATTTTTACAATTTCCAGTTTCTAATTCAAAGCTTTAGGGTTTTTTTCCTCCCCTGTTTTTCCTCCTCCCCACTGGCATGGGCAAGACCCAACCACATGGCAGGGCTTTCTGTAGGCCCCTGAATACAACTTTAGAGTTTTAAAATCCAGCACTGTAATCTCCTAGTCCCTGTGAATTGCTACTAGAAGTGAATGGTTTTAAAAGGTAATGCTGTGTTGGAAATTGGTTTTGTTTTTGCCTTTCTTTAAAAGGTAAGATCATGTGATTGAAAGAGCACAACAATTTGCTATGTTTTGCAGAGAACTTAGCAGCTTGAAACTCTACTTTTTGAATCTTTAAACCAGAACTTGGAGGTAAGGGCCAGTTTAAGGAAAGGGTTTGAGCTGTAGCATCAGGATGGGGGAGCCACAAGGGCATCCACCAGTCTTGGGAAGGGAGTATCTCACTTTCGAGTTGACATAGGGGGAGAAATCAGAACTAGGAGGACAGTGTCAGTGTCCTTCTTGGCCGTTGAAGGACACTCATCTAGTAGGAACCCACTTGGTTGTGACCCAGGTAGAAGTAGATACTATAAATTGGAGAAGCCCATCCCTAAGAAACCTGAGAAGCAGATTGAGGGCGTGGTTAGTGTGATAGCCCATGGAGCTTGGCAGTTACCAGTCCCTTTGACAAGCTCACTCAAAGCCCAGAATATGGAGCCCGCTGTTTTTAACCATCCTGGAGACCTCAGTTAGGCTAACTCTGAAGACTGCAGAGCGATGCAGCAAGAAGTCTGTGCAGCAGAAGCATTGTGTCAGTGTGCGTTGCTGTGCAGGGTACCTGCGGGACACAAGTATTGCTGTGTTTTAATTTGCTGTATTTTTGAATTGGGTAAAGCGTTCTTTCTCTTGATTGTTTGTATTACCATTCCACCAGTCCCCCGGCCTGCTCCCCAAATGTGATATTAGAAAGCCTCTTATCTAAAACCAAATGAGCGTCTGGGTCAGGTGCCAGACACCTGTTGCCTAGAATAGCTTCCTCTAGGTGTCCACGCCTTGAATTTGTCTCTTACCTGTGTGTTCAAGTCTTTACCATTGAAACCAGTTTTTCATATTTGATACAGTTGTGTATGATTTAATTTCCTTTATTAGGAGTCTTTGGTCAGGGAGGGAAGAAAAGACACATCGCAACATCACTGTCCATCTTTGGATCACCCCTGTTTGCATAGAGCCAGATCTTTCCCTCTCCCCCTCCAAGACTGTCTGCATCAGGGATGTGACTTGGTGAGAAGAGGGAAGAGGAAAAACTGAGTTTCTAAGCTACCGCCTCTCCTGGGTTATTGAAATGCCTGCAGAGCAGACACAGGATGATGTTGAACCTTTGGTCTCATTTGTGAAAACTTGTGCAATTTTTTTTTTTCTGTGCTACACTACATACAAATCACCGAACTGCAAATGAACTTAACCTTTGTGATCCTTGGTGTAATGAGCAGTTTCTTTGGGGCTTTTCCTTTCTTTCCGGGAAGTGGGAGGGAAAGGAGCAAGGTATTATCTTGCTCTTCATTTGTATTTTGGTCCCAAAATGTAAATACAATTTTCTATGTTACTTTTTTGTGGTAACTACCAAGATGAATATTTTAATTAGATAAGTTATATGAAAAGGAAGGAAAATTCCATGTCTAAATTAAAAAAAAAACAAAAACACCATGTACTGTTGTCTTTCTTCCTTTCTCCCTTATTGTGTCAGAGAATGGAAGTCGGTCACAATGTCTGGTTTCTGGGCTGTGAGGCAGACATCTTAATCCCTGGGCTGGGCCATAAAGGATGCTGGATTTCTGTCTGTACTGTAGCACCGCAGGTCTGGGAAAAGGGGACTCAAAGGGAGAGAACCCTATGAGCAAAGCAAGGAAACTCAGATGAAAATGAGCACTTGGTGGGGACCATGCACTGTCCCTTACTGCACTTGGAACCCTGGGACTGACCTGTTACCCCGTTTTACAGTTAGAAGCTGAGGCTCTGAGGGGTGAAATGACAGCCAAAGCCATATAGCTAGTAAGTGGCAAAGGAAAGGATTTCAAACCCAGATTCTCTGACAGCAAAGTGTGTGCCACTCTACTTTTCAGTCACTTCCAGCGGGTGTGGAGGACCCAGATAGGTCTCCTCAGTCTTACATTGGCTTCCTAATGAGAGCACAGTGAGCACACAGGCAGAAAGGTCGTGGCAGCAAGGGCTTAATAAGAACCTGCTGTGTTGGCCCTGGCTGAGCTGCCAGAGTTGCAGCATTCGTGGGTGGAGCCAAGGGCTTGGTTTCAGCCCCTACATCCATCAAGAGCCTTGGTTCTCACATCAAACCTCAACATCGCATGGCAACACGGTTTTATGATGATCCCTTCTCTCCTAAAGAGGGTATTCTTGGTGTATGGTCTGGACTGACTTTTCCCAATTCTTTACTGGATCTAATTCTCACTGTTCCAAATTACTATGCACTGAAGTTAATGATGGAATGTGGTATCCGATGGATGATTTTACCCGGTGTCTGTAAGTTAGCCCTTTGTCCCTTATTCATTAATTCAACATTTGCTGAGCCAGGACCTGTATTAGACCCTGGGATATAGAGTAACATGCCATCAAGTCTGGCGCTCGTGGTCAGGTAAGAGTAACTGAGCTCACTGGTTATATACCTACCATGTTCCAGGAACCATGGTCTCATATACATACATTATCTCGATTATCACAACGGTACTACTATAAGGTAGGTTGTCACGGCCCCCATTTAAAAACTGAGAAAACTGAAGCACAGGGAAATTAAGAACTTGCCCAAGGTCACACAGTGGTGACCAATGGTGCTGTGTGCTTTTGGTCTGACTCCCAAGCACATGTTCTCAGTCACATTTCCCATCTCACACGCAAACACGTACCCAATGTTAGGCTTCTGGAACAAAGCCAACCTCCAATGCAGAAAGATGCCCAGGCCAAGACCCTAATCATTTCTAGGAATGACTTCTCTGTGCTTCGTGTAACCGATGTCCAGAAGAATCCTCTACCTGGCTCATCGCCTTAACAGATGCCCCTCTCACAGGGTTTCTCCACTAAGGCTCCACATCCACTCGAGTGTCTCCCTGGCGATTTGGCTGACCTGATTATGTGGTGACAGAGGCAGTTTGTCCTCACAGGCCTGCATACTTCTGTGATGCCTACCGTCTCAACTCTTTTCAGAAACATCTGAGGAAAGTTCAAGCCATCGAAGTTTTATATACCTATACCCACGTTTCGCAAGCAGAGAATCTCGGCTTGGGGCCCCAGAATGTGCATTAAAAAAAAAAAAAAAGAATCCAAGCAATTCTTCTTATAACGCACATTAAAGTTTGAGAGCTGCTCCAGAGAATTTTCCACAAGTAGTGGAAAGCTTTTCACAGCTGGCCTGTGTGTCAGGGCCGGGAAGCTTGCGTATTCAGTCACACAGCAAACACTGTGCTGTCCCCACTCTGTGTCACTGCATGAGACAGACATGGCCTCTGCCTTCATGGAGCTTTCGTCTAGTAGGGGAGACAGTAATCAAGTAACTACACAAATCATTGTTTTCTTTTGGTTTTTTTGGCCACACCACGTGGCTTGTGGGATCCCAGTTCCCCAACTAGGAATCGAACCCGGCCCCTCAGCAGTGAAAGCGTGGAGTTCCAACCACTGGACTGCCAGGGAATTCCCAGAATCATTGTTTACAGACTTCTGGCCCCACTGCAGAAATCTGAATTGGTCAGAGGTAGGATGTGGAAGTAGGCACTTTATTTATTTATTTATTTATTTTTAAATTTTATTTATTTTACTTTTTTTGGCGGTACGCGGGCCTCTCACTGTTGTGGCCTCTCCCGTTGCGGAGCACAGGCTCCAGACGCGCAGGCTCAGCGGCCATGGCTCACGGGCCCAGCCGCTCCGTGGCATGTGGGATCCTCCCGGACCGGACCGGGGGCACTTTATAGGCCTCCCCCAATGAGTTTGATGAGCAGCCTGGTTTGGGAATGCCTCGTGCACTGGGAAAACAGCGCATGAGCTTTGGGATAAGACAGATTCAGGTTCAAATCCTGGCTCCACCACTCTTCAGCTTTGTGACACCTCTCTGAGCCTTAGTTTCCTCATCTATGAAATGGGAATAATGACACCTCACAGGAATTCTTGTAAGGATTCAATGAGAGAAGTGGAGCTCAATAAATTTTACTGTCCTTCCTTCATTCCCTCTAAATGCAGAATGAAAGGCAAAGTTTTGTTTTCTCTTGACAGGAATTAAAGCTTTAGGATCACAAGATGAGGACTATTCTGAGGTCACTGAGTCCTTCCTAATAATTGAAATCTTAGCCCCTGCTGCCCCAGATAGGATTAGTTCAGCTTTTCTGTTTTTGGACTCCTATTTCAGGTCCCTTAAACCATAGCCCCTAACAACCACCAAAAAGGCAGACACTACCTAATTTCTTGTTATCTCAGGGGTCGCTAATACCAGGAGTTTGGTGTAGGACAGTGGGAAGTGGTGGGAACAGAAGGAAAAAGGGCTATTTACACAGCTCCACCTGATTGCTTCCAGGCAGAAGGCAGGGCCCAGTGTGGCCACATCATGGAGTTTTAAAGAAAAGACAGAAATCTAGACGTCTATGCAAAATTTCCCAGTATTTAAAACCCAGAAAATCTATATAAAGTGGATAATTTTCCAGAAAAATACAACTTACCAAAATTGACCCATATAGAAATGACAAATTTAAACAGACTAATTACCATAGAAAAAAATAGAGAAAGTAGTTGTAGAGTTTGCCCTATGAAATAGCTCCAGGCCTAAGATTTCATAGGAGAATTCTTTCAACCTTAAAGATTAGATGATACCAATGCCACGTGAACTATTCCAAAGCAAAGAAAGAGAAGAGGTTAAGGAACCCTGGACTTGGTTATGGTGTAGCAACAATTCCCAAATCTCAGTGGCTCAACACAACCAAGATTTGTTTCTCACTCACACTACATGTCCAATGAGGGTCTGTTGGAGCTCTGCTTTACGTCATCCTCACGCAGGGACCCAGGCTGAGGGAGGCCTTCTAAGATTTTCAAGGCAAGTTAAGAATACTGCACTGGGGCTTCCCTGGTGGCACAGTGATTGAGAGTCCGTCTGCCGATGCAGGGGACGCGGGTTCGTGCCCCGGTCCGGGAAGATCCCACATGCCGCGGAGCGGCTGGGCCCGTGAGCCATGGCCGCTGAGCCTGCGCATCCGGAGCCTGTGCTCCGCGACGGGAGAGGCCACAGCAGTGAGAGGCCTGCGTACCGCAAAAAGAAAAAGAAAAAAAAAAAAGAATACTGCACTGGACCCTAAGCTACGTCCAGAGGTGACATCCATCATATTTCATTGGCTGCACCTAAATTCAAGGGGACAGGGAAGTACAATCCATCCATGCACCTTGATGCAGAGAACTGGAAATATTTGCTAACTCCAAAGGCAATCACAGTAGCCTGGACTCTCAGGTACTCCACAAGGCCACCCAGCTTTGAATTCCACACTTCCAGGCTTCAGCAGGTCACTTAACCTCTCTGTGTCTCAGTGTTTTCCTCCCCAAATGAGGAAAATACACCAACCTTGTGGAGCTATCATATGATGATTTAATGAGTTAAACATGTAAAGTGCTTAAAATCGTGCCTGGAACATAAAAAGAGCTCAAGACATGTCAGCCAGGACGTCAGTGATGAATTAGGTGAAGTACCCAACATGGAATGGGCATTTAGTAAAGGGTTTTTTTTAATTTCATTTATTTATTTATTTATTTAATTTTGGCTGTGCTGGGTCTTCTTTTCTGTGCGTGGGCTTTCTCTAGTTGTGGTGAGCGGGGGCCACTCTTCATCGCGGTGCGCGGGCCTCTCACTGTCGCAGCCTCTCCCATTGTGGAGCACAACTCCAGATGCGCAGGCTCAGTAGTTGTAGCTCACGGGCCCAGCTGCTCCACGGCATGCGGGATCCTCCCAGACCAGGGCTCGAACCCGTGTCCCTTGCATAGGCAGGCAGACCCCCAATGACTGTGCCACCAGGGAAGCCCAGTAAAGGGTTTTTGTTATAACTGAAGCTCTGAGGAAAATGATTTGTCCAATGTAACCTACCTGGTACATGCAGCATAACATGGTGGTTAACAGCCTGAGCTCTGGGGTCTCAGCTTTGCACCAGAGTAAGTACTTAATAAATGTTAATTAATATTTGGAGGTGGTTCAATGTGGTTAGCCTCAGCACAGCCTCTGGAGGCCCACTGCCTGGCTTCAAATCCTGGTTCCACTACTAACCAGCTGTGTGTCCATGGGCAAGTTACTTAGCTTCTCTGTGCCCCAGTTTTCTCACCTATAAAATGAAAATAATAGGACACCTATAATTACGAAGATTAGAAAACAATATAAGTAAAGCTCTTGGGACAGTGTGTGGCACATTATTAGTGCCATATGGTTATTAGCTATTATTAGTACAATACTCTCAGTTTGCCACAAGGAAACATTCGAAAGTGACAGAAAAATAGTTCATTTCTCCCAGCTTAACTGAGACAGGAGAGGAGGGAAGGTGGATACAAATTCAGCAGTCCTTTTGCTACAGAAATGTTTGCAGATGAACCTGGGAGTAGGAGAAAGAAAAAATCGGAAGCTTTTCCTACCTGCCCCAGGGTAATCTTAGAAGTCGGTGAGAATTCCCATTTGTCCTCAG